TCCCTCTCCCACTCCCCCTGCTTGTGTTCCCTCTCTCGCTGTGTCTCTCTCTGTCAAATAAATAAATAAAATCTTAAAAAAAAAAAACAAAAAACAAAACAAAAAGAGGGAACAGCACGTGCCAGCCTTGAGGCAGGCAGAACCAAGGCCCTGAGGAATGAGGAATGACAGGATTGCAGAGGGGCTACTGAGGTTGGATGGAGCAGACCCAGGGGGCTGGGCAGGCCATTCTGACAGGTCCAGATTCTGAAGAAGGACACTGAGGCCATTAGACTTGGGTTTAACTAGGTTCCTCAGGGCACGGGCCACAGGATAGGCTGCCAGTGGGGACAGTGGTTCCCCTCCTGACCTTCAACACATCCACAACACAGCTGCCCAAGGTGGAAGGCTGGTACTCTGATCTTGTCCTCGTACTGGAGGCTAAGCCAGCCCCCCTCCCCCCATGCTGGATTCCACACCTGCTGCACAAGGCATAGGGCCCACCCAGGTCTCAGGGAATCTTCTGACCTTTTTGTCCTCCTGCCTGCCTCTAGCCCCCATGAGCGAAGTGTAAAGCTAGGCCAGCCCACCACTCCAGCCTCTAGCCTGGTTCACAGGATCCTAGATACCAGCCCCATCTCAAGGTCCTTGAAAACCGAGGCTGTTTCCTCTGCCCGCACAGCTCTTCCCACATATTGTCTCCTAAACTGACTTCTGATCTTCACCGCCCTGGCAGACGCACTACCCGTCTCACCCCTGCCCTTCTTCTGTTCTGAGGTGTGTCCCAGAGCGCTGCGTGCAAAGGCACTCAGTTCAATATCCATTCATACTTTTGTTCACTACTCGCCCTGGGGCAGGCGGGCCTGGTGTGTGTGCGGGGAGGCAGGGGGCATAGAGACAGGCTGCCTCCACCTTCTACCTGGGACCCAGGCTCAGGGGCGGAAGGCGGGAGCCAGAGGCTGGGGTGGTGTCTGCTCCCTCATTCCGCTCGTAGCCACGGGCGGGAGTGGAGGTACGCTGCAGGGATGTCTCTGCACGCAGGGCTGGAGTCCGGCGGACCAGGGACAAGCCCTACTGCTGGTTCCACTCATGCTGCGGGCAGAGGGCCGTCACCTGGGGTCGCAGCGCAGTCCGAGCCAGCCGAGACAGGGGGGTCGCAGCGCAGTCCGAGCCAGCCGAGACCTACCTGAGGCTTCGGACCGCCTTCCCAGCCTCCGTCGCCGTGCTCCAGCTGTAGTTGCAGCCCCGCGGCGAGCGCACGGGGGCGTGGCCCACAGATGGACCGCGCAGGCCCCGCCTCGTCCCTGTGCCTAGGGCAACGCCGGAAGCGTGCTCTGGCCCAGACGTTCCTCGCTGCCCCGCCGCCCGAGCCTCTGCGACTTGAGTTCCGACTCTGACTAGAGCAGGAAGTGCGGCCTGGCCGCGGCGGCGGATCGCCATAGAAACACCGGAAACGTGCTCTGACCTAGCGCTTCCCAACCCCACCGCGGCTGCAGACTTCGGTTCCGCCGGCGTCGTCCCCCGAAAGTGCGGCCTGGTCGGCGGTGAGCGGCAGAAGGCCACGTCCCGGCCGCGTGCCTGAGGAGGAGCCGGAGGTGGGGTCTGGCGGGCATCCCCCTGCTGCAGGGCCCACGGGCAGGCCGGGGCGTGCCAGGGGAGGGGCACCGGCGCTAGGCTTGGAGCGCACGCTGTGGACGTGAGGGGGCGCTGCAGGGTGGGGGCATGGCTCTGGCGATCGCGCGCAGGCGGGAAATACAGGCTGGCCGGGGTCTGGAGCGGGTGCAGCCCGAGCGTCTCAGAGAGGGCCTCAGGGTTCAGGGTAGGGCGCGAGCAATTGAGCAGAGTATGGGAGAGGGTGCTTGGAGCAAAGTGTGCGGCGAGGGCAAAGGCGTGGCGGCCAGACTGCGGCGCCATACCCGGGGGGGGGGGGTGGGCCTTTGTTCTGAGGCGCCGAAAAGGCCCTGCGGCATCTGGACCGAGAGATAAGAGACCGGGAGCAGGGCGGGGGCGGGTCGGAAGACGCAGGCTTTAAAGGGTACGGTCGATGCGCAAGTTTCCGCCCCAATCGCCCAGGCACGGATTTGAAGTTCTCTAGTCGGTGGGTGAATAAAGACGGGGAACGGGCTGTGGCATAGGAAACAGCACGTGCAAAGACTTGGCTTGTTTGAAGAGTTGCCAAGAATTAATTCGTCGCCATGGAGGGCTCTGAGCCCAGGAGGGTCCCGAGCTGTCAGGTCTGAACAGGCTCCCTCTGGCTGTCGCGTGGGGAATAGATCGGGGGGCGGGGATCACAAGGAGATGGCTCCATCAGCCTCGGCCGGAGGTACCGGGGCAGTGGCGGAGTGCGAAGTGATCTCAGGGTGAGATGTGGAGCATGCAAGAAACGGAGGGGCTGGCCCCAAAAGAGGAAAGGTGATTTGGGCATGAGGAACCGGAGGGGGGTGAGTCTGAGACCCCCATTAGACCCGAAAGGTTAAGAGAGGCTGCACTCCGGGGCTGTGTGATCCAGCCTGAGCCAGGCTGGTGGAGAGTGGGTGAGTGTCAGGGTGCGTCCTGTGACCGACTGTTCTCCCCTAGACTGGAGGTGCGTGTGGGCTGGGTGCAGGATGAGCCAGGTATCCCATCTTTGTTTGAAAGACGGAAGACTGAGTCCTAGTGAGCATGGTGCCTGCTTGGCGGGTGAAGTAGCAGAGCTTCTCAGATTCCCGGAGTCCCCTGGGGGATGGTATCCCCTCCCCCTTCCAGTGTCTGAGGGTGGGCAAATTAAGTGGAATTAGGAGGTCAGAATTTTGACAAGAATCATGCTGATACGGAGGCAGCTGCTGCACCACCTTTGCCCTCCGAATCACACACGCTGCACGATCCACGCAAGCCCCCTCTCTATGCCACACCCACACCGCGTGCCCTACAAGCCATATCGAGATTCCAAGAACACCAGGCTGCAAGAGGTACCTCCCTACCTGTGGTGCTGGGGTTGGCAAGAGACCATGTATCTTTCTCTTATGGGGCACTTGCCAGGCTAGTGCCCAACTTATTCTCAACCCTTTGTGACTATGCACACCCTGAATCGCTTAGTCCAGGAGGCAGGCAGGGCGTGCCACCCCACCCCAAGAAGACCTCTGTATACACTAGTTAATCCAATTCCAAGCCAACAGACCTGGGTCTCCACAGGACCTTGGATGCTCCAGGCTTAGGGGATGTGGCAAAGGAAGATCAAAAAGAAGCTGCTTGGGGAGGATTCACAGCCAGCCAGGGAAGGGAGTGGGTAAGGTGTGGCAGCCAGTTCTGTATGGGGGCCCCTGCAGTCTTCTCCACAGAGCTGCCCCCTGGGAGGGGGACTTGGGGAAGGTTTATGGATTTGGAATTAGGGGAAGGGTTGGTGGGTGGGCTACTATAGGGGAAGCTGAGCTCTGGACTCTCCCCTGGGGAGTAAGCAAGACTGGGAGGGAGGCAGAGCTTTGGTATTCCCAGCCTTCTTCCAGGGGTGTGCCAGGGGCTCCGGAGGCAGAGCTGCAGAGGCCCTGGAGACGGGGTGGTGTTTGGTGAGTCCTGTGTCCCGTGTATGGGAACAGGACTGCCAGAGGCCTTTTCGAGAGGGCTGAGGTTCGCAAAGCCTGGGGCTGTGGTGCGCCCACGGGCCCTGTCCTGCAATAAGGGCTCAAGGGACAGGGATAGTGGGGCGGGGGAGGGGGTGGGTGCCCTGCTGACCCCCCTCTCCCCGCCCACACCCCCTCATCCAGTGCAGATGGCGGCGGCAGAGGCGGTGCACCACATACACCTGCAGAACTTCTCCCGCTCGCTGCTCGAGACCCTCAACGGGCAGCGGCTGGGCGGTCACTTCTGCGACGTGACGGTGAGGATCCGCGAGGCTTCGCTGCGTGCACACCGCTGTGTGTTGGCTGCCGGCTCGCCCTTCTTCCAGGACAAGCTGCTGCTCGGCCACTCGGAGATCCGCGTGCCGCCGGTGGTGCCCGCGCAGACGGTGCGCCAGCTCGTCGAGTTCCTCTACAGCGGCTCGCTTGTCGTGGCACAGGGCGAAGCCCTGCAGGTGCTCACGGCCGCGTCCGTGCTGCGCATCCAGACGGTCATAGACGAATGCACGCAGATCATTGCCCGCGCCCGCGCGCCGGTCCCGGGCGCGCCCGCACCCCTACCCACGCCCGTGCCCCCTCCTCTTGCACCCGCGCAGCTACGCCACCGCCTGCGCCACCTGCTTGCCGCGCGCCCTCCGGGCCACCCCGGTGCAGCGCATAGCCGCAAGCAGCGCCAGCCAGCGCGCCTGCAGCTGCCTGCGCCCACTGCGCCCACCAAGGCCGAGGGGTCGGACGTCGACCCCGCCCTACCGGCGCCCCCGGACGACGGCGGCGATGGCGACGAGGAGACCGATGATGAAACCGATGGCGAGGACGGCGAAGGCGGCGGCCCGGGAGAGGGCCAGGCGCCCCCTCCCTTCCCCGACTGCGCCGCCGGCTTCCTCACCGCCGCCCCTGACAGCGCGTGCGAGGAGCCGCCTGCACCCGCTGGCCTCGCTGACTACGGCGGCGCGGGGAGGGACTTCCTTAGGGGGGCGTCGGCTGCCGAGGACGTGTTCCCGGAGAGCTACGTGTCCGCTTGGCAAGATGAGGATGGCACCGCCGCGGAAGCCTGTCCCACCGAGACCCCGGCTCCGCCTGACTGCGTCCTGTCCGGATCCCGCGTCCCCGGCGTGAAGACCCCGGGGCCTCCAGTCTCGCTTTTCCCGTTTCATCTGGGCGCTCCTGGGCCACCTGCGCAACCTTCTCCCGCGCCCTCCGGCCCTGCTCCTGCACTCTCCTCCGCCTTCTACCCCGCGCTCCAGCCAGATGCGGCCCCCAGCGCGCCTCCAGGGGAGGCGCCGGCCCCGCCCGCCGCTCCCGCCGTGGCCCCCTCGGCCACCCCTGCCCGAGCCCCGGGTGCCACCGAGCCACCTGCCTATGAGTGCAGTCACTGCCGCAAGACGTTCAGCTCGCGGAAAAACTACACCAAGCACATGTTCATCCACTCGGGTGAGCCGGGATGGGTCTCTGAGCCAGCCCCTTGGTCATTGGAGATTCAAGCCTGAGGGGGGACTGGGCACTGGGCAAGTTGGGTGGAGGCACTCATGCGGTTCTGATGCTGTTTCATGACCCCAGGGGAGCCTGGAAATTGAGCCCCCAGTGCGACGTATAGGGGGGAGGGGAAGCCCCTCCACATGGAGAAGCAGGCACTCCTGCATCCCCTACCTCGATTTAGTGGTGCAGGGGGAATCCTACTGCTGCATTAGGGAGCAGGAACTTGCCCAGAGCTTTTGGGAAGCTGCCAGTGAAGCCTTTACTCACCGCGATGGAGCTTGGGATGATCAGGAGGAAAAGAGCCTTGGCAGGGATATATAGCCAGGTTGGGGAGCAGTGCTGCAGGGAGCCTCCTGGGTCTTCTGGCTGTCTGTGGGTCCGGTGGCTGGGTCTGGATGTGAGGGAGGGTGAGTTCGCTGGCCTAGGGAAAGCGTGCAGAGTAGGCAGAGAGGTGCCCTGATCAGCGCTGGAGGACGGAGGTGGGGCTGCATAGTGGGGACCCCGCAGCTGCAGAGGGAGGGAAGGGGAGCTCCTTGAAGACCATGGAGAGGTCCCCTAAGACCTCAGCTGGTCTGGGAGGTGCTCTGCAGTGGCTGAGGGAGAGACAGAGTGCTAGGCTGGACCAGTGGAGATTGTGGAGCTAGGGCCTGAGGTGGTGGCTGGCAGGTCCTGGGTGTGTTGCGGAGTGTGTGGGGTTCTCCCTAGGGGCTCAGGTGGAGGACAGGGGTATGGAATGTCAAAGACTGCTAGCAGGGCTGAACTGGATGTTGTTAGGAAAAGCACAGATTTGGCTGGAAATCCTGTGGGAGTGGAATGGGGAGTTCTGCAGGGCCAGGAATTTGGGATTTCACTGTGAATGGTGGGGAGGGCATCAGTGTTCTGAGGTGAGGAGTGACTGAGATGGGATTTACAGTGTAAAATCCCCACCTGGCTGTCTTGGAGATGAAAGGGAGAGGATACAGGCATAGGTAGAGAGCCTGTGGAGAGCTGCCAGGGGCCCAAGGTGGTACGAACCAAGATTTGCCAGCTTTGTGCCTCTGTAGCCAGGTGCCAGGCCTGGTTGGTCTGCGGGAACCCCTGCCCAGGCACTGCCCTGCTGTCCTCTGCCACTGAGATAGGTTTTTTATTAGTACCTGATGACTTTAAGGGCCACACAGCCTGCACTGTCACCCCCAGGTACATTATAAGTGCCAGCAGACGAAGGTTCTGGGCAACAGGGGCTTCTAGTAGGAAGGGGCACGTGTGCCTGTGTCTCTCCCAGTGTAAGCCTAGCGGGCCTTGCCAGACTGTCCCCAGAATGGTGGCCAGCGATCAGAGAGTGCTCCAGGGGCATAGCAGGAGTGGAGGGAGGGCAAGTCCCTGGAGGTGGGGGGAGACCCCAGTGGTCAGTCCCGATGGGCAACGATGTCCCAGACCAGCAGGATTCCCTGTTGGGAGGGTACCTGTTAGAATTGGGGGCGCCTGACAGTGGTATCCCGGTAGGACGGTAAGGGTCTGGGAAAGGGGCGTCCCCGCTGAGTGGGGA